TTTTTTTTTTTTTTCACCAAGTGCACCTGTTTGTTTTAATATATGTTTTCAATTTTTTTTAATATAGAAATAATTAATTAATTTATTTATTTTATATAAAAATAATTTAACAATCCCATCACTAACCATCTCTCACACTATTATCAAAACAAACACATTTTTACTTAATTCCCTCACAAACGTGGCCTATAAGTGCACTTTTTGACTATTTGGTTAAAAAAGTAAAAAAAATTATATATATGTATGTTTGGGATAACTTTTTAACTTTTTATGAAAATATGTGTAATAAAATATTATAATAAAATCGAAATGACCATTTTATCCTTTTGACTTTTTGGATAGTTGAATTTAAAAGGCAAAATAATAATTTTGCCCTAGTGACTTCCCCATAAGCTACCCTTAAATAGTATAGACTTTTTTATTTTTTTTAATAATTTTATGACTTTTTAATTTTTTTTTTAATTTATCTCAAACAAGGTCTAAGAGTGCATTAAAGACGAGGGGAACATGTTCGCATCCTCTAGCTTTATGATGCAAGGCATTGTAGTACTTGGCAAGGCATTCTCTATCCCCATTTTTAATATATTGTGTCCCAAATACTTTTTTCATCCCATGACGTACCAACTCGTAATTTTGAGAAATTAATTACTTTGACACATCTTTCAATACAGAGAATGTTTGGGACTTGGTATGGGTAAAATAAAAAGAGAGGATCTCATTTTTCATTGATGTGTCAATTCTCAATTAAAGGATTAGTTAGTGTGGCATATCATGTGGTGAAAGAAAGTTTGGGATGTGAGACGAGAAAAATGAGAACATAGATCCCTCTTTGTTATACAGCTGCAAATCCATGCCCATTTTTCTTGTTCATCCCAAACACTATTTTTCAAAGTGCCAACTCTTAATTAACCCATTTTTCTTAGCCATTCCAAATCATGTTTCTACCCCATGATCTGCCAACTATCAATTAAGAAGTAATTGTATTGACAATTGTTTTGTTGTTGCAGTTCTGTCATCCCTTCAAGGGATCCAATCTCGTTCCTCAAAAATCACGCAAAGTAAGTAGGTTTTGTTTAAACAACTATTGATTTGATACTGGGGGGGGAAAAAAAAAGAATGAATGAATGAATGAGAAAATGCTTGGCACCATGTGAGTGTTTGGTAGATTTTTTAGTAGTTTATTTTGTATCCATAGCATTGCTCATGAGGAAATGCTTAATTTGAAAGATAAAAAGCAGCTGTTTATTTGGAATTGTATGTGAGTGCAGATCAAGTGGTATTCATTTCAGTTGTGCTTCTGGTAGCTGCCTTGTCATTGGTTTCAAAGGTGGTGTTGCACTCTCAAATGCTTATGGTAAGCCTGTCAAATGTAAAGCAGCCTCTTGAAAATAGTGTCCTGAAAAGTGCCTTGCCTATACTCTTCAATTCTGTTTTTCTAGTTTCTGTTATGGAGTATGATTTCTTGTTCTTCCACAATTGATATACAGGTGTGGTGGTCATCTGGGTCATGATCATTACGACATTTTTAACAACGCTGGTGATGCTGGTGATCTGGGACACAAATTTCCTTCTCATCTGTGCATTTTTCTTGCCATGTGTACTAATCGAAGCCATATTCATGACATCCTTGCTTAACAAAATCCCACAAGGAGGATGGGTACCATTTGTTATCTCAGTTTTCTTCCTAGTAGTCATGCTATCTTGGACCTATGGAAGGAGCAAGAAGAGTATGTATGAGGCAGAGAAGAAAATGAGTTTAGTTGAACTGAACCAAATGATGTCAAGAGGGGACGTTTATCGCCCACTGGGACTTTGCTTCTTCTGCACAGACCTTGTCAACGGAATCCCACCAATCATCCGCCATTACATTCAGCACACAAACTCAGTTCACGAAATCATGGTGATCATCACGATGAGAACACTCCCAATCAAAACTGTCCTCCCAGAGGAACGGTTGGTGGTTGGGAAACTGGGACTTGGAGTTTACAGGTGTCTGGTTCAGTTTGGTTACAAAGACTCACCAAGCATGAATGGAGACGACTTTGTTGCTTCGGTGGTGGGAAGACTCCGCGAGCTTGCCGAGACTGCTGGAGAAAAGCAAGAATTGGAATCGGCTGCAGAGAAAGGAGCTGTGTTCGTGATAGGCCGGACCATTCTCAAATCAAACAAGGACAACAGTTGGTTTTCTCGCTTCATCATAGATCACTTATACAGATTCCTTCAAAAGAACAGCAGGGCTGCAATTTCAACACTTCAAGTAGTCCCACCAGAAAATACTTTGCAAATCGGGATGCTTTACGAAATCTAGAACCAGCCCAACACATCTTCATTGTGTACCTATGTGTTTGTTAAAATGTTGAGAAATGAACTTGCTTGGCAGCAGTATTACTGTTATGGTTTCCCCTTCCAGTAATGGAATTTATAAATATATAAGCGAGAAAAACCATTTTTATCAAAATATGAACACCATCTCTGCAGGGACTTGGGGTGTGATAAAGCACTAGACTTGGAAAAGATCAAGTACTAGTACAAACAATTAAAAGCAACTTTTGAGTTTATCATCCTTTTCCAGAACCTCTTTCTGTCCATTTCAGGATTCAAGAGGAAGTTCAACTTTTTTTTTGGGGGGTGGGTAAAGTTCAGACTTGATTCTTACATAGAACTAAAATAAAAGTATTAGCAAGAAATGGGCTTTCGCCACAGACAAACACAATGAGAGCACACTTAGCCCATGGCATACTTCTGGGTCCAGCTCCTTGCAGTTGTCTCATACTTGTTCCTGTCTGTCTTGTACATGTGAGCAATCTCCGGCACCAGTGGATCATCAGGGTTTGGGTCCGTCAACAAAGAACAGATTGAAAGCAACACCTAGAAAATTGATGCAAACCATTTCAGCCACTCAAAAAGTGAAGGCAAATCCAAAACATTGCTAATAACTACTATCAAGGATTGACAACTACTAAAGGGTGTGTTCGGATCATGAATCTGGATAGGGATTTGAAAAAGGAAAAGAGAAAGATTCAGGTATAGTTTGCCTGATTTATATCTAGATGATAAACAAGATCAGTGAATAATAATCTACCCAGACCAAAAAACCAAAAGAATAGCATATAATCTAATGATAATCAACACCTGAACACAGTTTGTTTAGTTTGCATTCTCTCAATTAGTAGCATACACAGATTTTCAAGTTAGACAACACTATGCTATAGCACAAGAACCTTGGAAATCGTCAGGGCAGGGCTCCACTGCTCCTTCAAAATGTCAAGGCAAATGCTCCCATTGCTATTTATATTTGGGTGGAAAACCTTCGTCCTAAATGCCACCTGCATGATAAATCCACATGAGAGAGAGAAGAGCACACCAAGTTTGATCCCAACAATAAAAGTATCAGGAACACTAAAACAAGAAGCATTGAAAGCAACAACCATGATGACACTACAAAGACCTCAAATAGGCACTTTGTCCTGCATTGACTTCTTTAATGAATCTGAAGCCAATGTGGAGAATTTTTTTACCATTTTAGTAGTCAGAGAGAAGGGCAAGGGAGCTTTCTGTACTGGGAGGCTCTATTTAATGACAAAACAAAAGACTAATGCACTTCATGGAGAATATGCAAAATGCTCACCGTACAAAGAAAGTGGCAATGCATAGGTTTATCAGTTAGTCTACTTAAAAGTAAAAATCCCTATTCTTTACAAAATTTATCATACGACAGAGCACTGTGCTCTGCTTCTGCGCAGTACAAACTTTCTTCAGAAAAATTAAAATTAGCAGTAATTACAGCACTATTAGTTGCTCTTTCACTCAGATAATTTTATGTGCTTTAAATGAGACTAGGATGTAAATAACAATCAGTTTATAAGATGATTGGAAACAACCACCAACAAAATAATAATTGGTCTCTTTTGAAAGGTAAACTAGTAGTTACATCGGATTCTCCTATCATAATCATTTTATATATTCTTGTTTTCATATGATAGGCTAATTTTACTGACTTAAAAAGTTTCTGGCCATGGGCTGTTAGAGTTGTCATGGGTTGTAATATGAGTCAACCCATGTTGTTGGATCTCCAAACATGTTTTTTAGTTAGTTTTAGAAGCGAAAGTCTAATTTTCAAATTTTGAAGTCAAGTGCCCTTTCGGAATTAGGAATTCTTTTTAAAAAAAGTCATATAATACTTATAATTCAATGAAGAACATGCTTTAGAGCTTTTTGGAGCTTCTTTGGGATTGTGTGATGCATTCCTAATGCTAGGCGTGATGCCTATGGGACTCTAGGTGGGATGCCTTTCATCTTCTTTTTCTTAATTTTCTGCAGTTTAAGCACTTTTAATGATAGCCTTGCAGCTCCACCTTTTGTTAGCCATAAAAACCCTAAAAACCTTTCTCTCACCAAGCTTTCAACCACAAAACTAAGTATTATCGCCCCAAAAACCTACTTTATAGCTGTCCCACACTACATTTGGCTAACTATTTCTCTTTATTCATCCTACGTCACATCACATGTGAGCTTATGGAAGATAGTCCTGCCATCTCAAGTAAAGTAAAGAACCATGCATGATGCACCACCATAACCTTGTGTGAGTTTATGCAAATAAGCTTCATCCACATTATAATTGCGCATCATGGAAGGGATGGGTATAGAAGCATAAACCTAAGAAAACTGCTCTAACTAGAAATTCATTTCATCATAATTTTCCTTATGACAGTCACAATTTCATTATACGTCTTTAATCATGTCAATATTGAATATTGTATATTCATCTAGTACTTCTTCCTTTTCTAAGGGCAACTATTTTATATTCAATAAACCCAATATATGCTTTCTAAGTCAACAAAGACAAAAGCAACATGAATTATGCATAGCAATATATCCACTCCACAAACAAGTGCACCATGCTTACACGTAACAATATAAACTCCATAGCAGATTATGCTTGTGGGCAGCAATCTAGACTTGGCCAATTTCCAGCACAAACTATATTCCAATTACCTTTGATGTAAAAATTAAATGGATATACCATGATAACTATGCATTTATCTTCACTTTTCTAGTGAAAAATCTTAGCAGTGAATTTGTCATTAGTATTTTGTATTTCAAACTGGAGAAATAAGAGAATGCAAACAAAATATCATGATAACTTGTATTTTTACAAATATTACCTAAAAATTCGATGACGACTGAGAAAAAAATCACAAAAGCTAGACTTGCCAAGAAAAGCCCCAAATTTCTAGAAAGTAGACTAGGTATTAGAGGTGTACAGCCCATAAAAAATTCACAAAGCATAAGACCACATAAACTTTAAACTCAGCAAATTTGCACATTCAAGACCGAGTTGAAAATAAGTAAAACAAAAAACAAAGCAATTAATAAAGTTCGATATGACACAGTACTCGAGCAACAACACGAGAAACGATTAGAGTGGAGGAGACACCTTAGGTGGCTTGAAAGGGTAATCTGGGGGAAAATGGATGGTAACTAGAAAAACCCCACCAGCATAAGGACTGTCAGGTGGACCCATAATTGTTGCCTGCCAGTGAAACATGTCTTCAGCAACAGGACCTGAAACAAATACAAAATAAAGCAAAATCATCGACAAAAGAAAAAAAGAACTGCACAAAAAGTGAAGGACAAAAATTTGTATGATCAAAAGACATAAGGTTAGACCTAAAATATTAGGGTTCATGGGCATGCACATGCACCATACAGAATGAAGAAGAAACAAAAAACTATGAAGCATAGGTACTTCAAAAAACATGCCATACCCATACCGGGTACTTACTACCAACGTATGGTACCTCATATGATACTTCTGCATACGTACCAGGTACACAAATCACATACCACGTATATGAAACACGTATCCAAAATTTTTCTTCTTAATTTTTGACGAACCTAGACGTACCTAACATGTACTCAAGCCGTACCGTACCGTACCTCACTTGAAACAATATTTTCTTCTACTACAAAGATATAACACATTTCACTTGATTTCTTTTTTATTTTTTGTTTTATACTTAGCATGATTTTAAAATTAAACTATGGTTTGTAAGTTATTTAATATATTGACATTTAATTTTGATTTATATTTTTACTTTTGGCATTAAATGTTAATTGTAGGTTGGATCTTAACAAATTAAACCATTTAATTAATTTTTGCATTACTCTAAATTAAAAATAAATATTTTTTTACAAGCGTGCTAAGGCATACCCATACCCTATTTTTTTTTAATTTTACTGTATCGCCGTACTCAGATCGTATGAATACCAGTACTCATACTCGTACCTGTACCCGTACCCGTGCTTCATAGACAAAAAATAACTTGTGTAACAACCATTTACAGATTTTTTTCTTAACAAAAACAAGGGGGAAAATTTAAAAAAAAACAAAACAAAACAAAACAAAACAAAACAAAAAGCAAAAAACAAAAAAAAAAAAAAAGAACATGTCTACAATGTCAGCAATAGCTCAAATTCCAAGCCTTCCACCAAACCTAATGGCCCAGATTTGTGAAAAATGTTAAACGCAGCACATTTGGTGAGGTAAGCCATTTGGACCAAGAAATCGGTGCCACACACTATCTGCAAGTTGCTCCAATTTTCAGACCAGCAGCCCACTTTAGAATTTAACCATATTGTTAATATCTATATCGGCTTAGCATTGCTGTTCAGTTATATTTTTATAAGTGCCCAAGGGTGGTTTCTTGCTAAGCTGGCATGTGATGTCTGGATATTTCAAAAATAGTCACTTCCCCTTTCTGCCATTCTGTTACAGACATTGGTGTTGCAGTGGATTAAAATTTGGATACCATGCATGTCTAACACCTAAAGACACAACACTGCCAAAAAGTCAAGCTGAATCGATGTAGCAGACAGGTCATCACTCCAACTAACAAACCTTAACCAACTACCCATACAAAATAAAGAGTGAAAAAAGAAAACCAACTTAATCCTAGTGGAAGCTATAGCTCCCACCACAGTTCTACATACCGATATCGAGAGACAAATCCATATCAGTCGCAGTGTAATGGCAGCAGAAGTGTTGAGTAATAAATATCAGGATATCAGGAATCGGGTGATATGGCCATGAATTTCTTAAAACCATTCACAACTACACTAAAATTTAATGATACATATTCTTTTACTCTTAAACATAATATGTCACATTTTAATCAATGTACTGATATAAAGAATCATTTTTTACATGCTAAGATAATAAAAGCAAATCAATTACAAAAAAATATATATATATACACACACACAACAAAAAGTCCATCAGCTCAACTCACCTTAGACATAATACATCAAAAAATATAGGGGTAATAACAATTCAGGGTATGGATTATTAAGACATGAAGGGTGCAACTCTTTGTGAGGTGGGGTGAGGGTGCAACTCTGAGTTGCACCCCTCCATGTTTGTGTAAATTTTTTTTTTCTTTTTTTTTTTCACTAAGGAGTAATTCCCCCAAAAATATATACTTCTTGTTCTACATATTTTTAATAATAATTAAGTTCATTATTCTCCATTTAGAAAGCGCTACAAATCAGCTCTAGTTTTACAATAATCTTAAGAAATAAAATATATGCAATGAATTTACTTCACATCTCGGTATTGTTCACCCAAACTCACAACTTCGGGTGGGAGGTTTGGGCACCCAATGACTGCACCATGCTTTCAGTTTATCGGAAAGGTTTCGGTCAGTGGAAATTTCTAAAATAAGAGTATCACAAATGCCTAAAATCAAAGTCTCAAAAACCTTCAAATCCAAAGGGTTCAGCATTTTACGCACCTCAAAATCCATAAAAAAAAAACATTAGACATCTAAAGTAAAACTAAAATCAATACAGGATACCAACTAAACTAGGGAAGGGATCCATAGCTCTGTGATCTCCAAATCAGCGGCGAGCTTGGTGCCCGACATTGCAATCAAGGAAGGGCTCACAACCCTTGTTAGCAAATCTTGGTGATAAGATGATGACCTTGGAGAAGTCATGGTTATGGTGACGGTGGATCCATCTCGGCCCCAAGCTTCCTATGTTCTTTGATGCCCTTGGAGGCGTTTGGCAGCCTTGTGATAGCAATTTGAGAGGAATGTCGGCCCTTCAAACTGATGGAGATTTGAAACCAGAGGGCAAGTGATGAGAGAGAGAGGGCGAGTTAATGTGGTGCATCATCACGTAAAGAGAGAGATGAAGAGATAGATAAAGGGAGATGAAAAGATAAAGAGAGACAACTCAAACCAGGGGTAACGCCAAGTAGAAGTTAGTGCCTTCAACTGAAACCCTGACCGGGATAAGATAAAATATTGAACCAATATAATAATGCCACATGTAAAGTTACTTATTTGTTAATAAATTTTTGTCAGTTCAGGTGTTTACGGTTGGATTATTTTCAAAGCAGAGGCCGATTGAGAAAATGATGTTTTTATAGCTAATGCCCCTAGTTGATCAAAGCTTCTTTTGAAATGACCATTTCTTGTATTGTCAGGTCACTCAATTTGGGCAAGTGATTCAGCTATTTGAACATCCCTAATAACCACATTTGATACCAAATCAAAGTACCACTCTTGCTTTCAAACACAAAACAATCATATACAAAGATAGGCAAGTCCCACATCATTGGAACACAATTACCACTCCTCTAACCCCCTTTACATAAACAGCCCCATACTTCTTTGTCCCACATTGGCCAAAAACCAAAATCTTGTCTTGAAATTGCATCTATAAAAGAAAAGGCAAAAGGCATTCAGTCAACTGACAGGGCCAAAGTGTTTTGTGGGATTGTACTGCCCACGTCTGGTGTTTCCAACTGATTCAAAGCAGTTCGTCTCACAAATTGGCAGGTTCATTTGTGATATTCATTTACAGTGATACACTAGGGAGTACCTGCATGTAAGGCCTAAAAACCAGTACAAAACAGCCAATTCACTATGAACCAGCCAATATTTATAACCACTTCTTCCACTAAGATTTAGGCCTTATTTGGGGAGTGGCTAATATAACCAAAAAGCCACTATAAGTTGTCACAAACCAGCCAATATTTATAACCACAGCTTCCACAAAGATTACCATCTAGACGCTAACAGAAATATAATTTACATGGAAACTAACTAGCCAATTTGGCTTCAATATCTTTTCCATTTTGCCATTTTTGTGTGTGTGTGTGTGATGGTTATCAGAATCCCGATCCAGATCTTACGATCTTACGATCCATTTGAGTATAATCGATCCGGATTGTGTAAAAAAATCCTTATAGGTAGGATCTTTCGATCCTGGTAATGGGATCTTATAGGATCGTGGAATCCCAATTCGAATCCGATCCTATTTACAAGCCTTGTTTTGTATTGTATGACATATTTTATTGTAAATTTTATGTTTATTGTCTAAATACCCATTTATGTGGTCAAAATAAATAATAAAAATTAAGTAGTATTAAATCAAATAGACAAAAAAAAAAAAAATTAGGAACCAAACATTCAAATATTGCAGTAATTTAAGAAAATTAACTAGTTAGAAAAACAAACTTAGTTTTAGCAGAGTTTAAGGAGGGTAAGATGATTGCAACTTTATCCCAATTTTTGGAGAGATTATTTTTGTTATTCGAATCCGCTCTGCCAGGGATGCTAACGATAAACCTTATCATTCGGTTAAGTTGCTCTTTTTAGTTCTTAATCTATTTTCATATCCAACTTTGTTAAATATTTTTCATCACTTTTTATGCATTATTGTAGATTGTAAAGTATTTTGTTATAGAATTCTTCTTCTTCACCTTCTTTTTTGATGAAATACAAAACTTTTACCATCGGGTTGTCTATTATATAATATTATATGTACATTTTACATGAAGTATTATACTTTTCACAATATCTTCACTTTTTTTTAATAGAATATATGCTCATTTTGTGTATACTTTTTAGAAAATATTTATTTAAATTAAATAATTATGTAATTTGTCTTTTTCAGTAGGATCTTACGATCCTTGATCCGATTCTACGATCCGATTCTATAAACACCTCCAACGATCCAACGTAGGATCCCGATTTTAACAACCTTGGTGTGTGTGTGTCTCATCAAAACTCAAAAAAAGCACAGCCACATTCACATTTTTTTTTTTTTTCTGGGTCAATGCTGATGATCTCCAAAACTGGGGGTAGCTCTCCCCTGTTCATTCGCCCATCAAACAGAATGAAGGAACAATTCAATCCCAGGTCTCTGGTAATACTACCAAGAGATTTTACAAACTAATCTAGCCAGCACCTTAAACTATGTTCACATATCAAAATGAAAACTTGTCATGGGTTAATCATGTATTTTTCTTCTGTGGCATAGATTTATGACCATGAATCATGGTTCTTTTTTTTTATGACCTAAACAACAGAAACTCTAATCATGTATATAAAAAATGGAAATTCATTTCAAATAAGAGGCTCAAAAATAAAATTTAAAAGAAAATACTTGGTAGGAGATTTGAAACACAACACATCAGGAATGAAAAAATTACCTGAACACAATCCCAATAAATCAACTCAAAAAAAACTTACAAGGAGAGGGATCACAGAACAAATTAAGGCATCATAAAACATAGATAAATGCACAAATAAACATAGATTGAGCAAATGTGAAAGATTATACCAGCGCTGCAAGATGTAGGAGGATCCTTCTGGAGATCCTTGAGTTCCTTCGAGATCCGCTTTGAAGCCATCGCTAGACCTGCGTTTCAACAGGCCGATCACCTCAGATCGACATCAAAACAAATTAACAAAAACATAGAGTCGGAGATGTGTACTACCTGTGGAAGAAGTAGATCCTCAATCATGGGTTTTTTTTTTTTTTTTTTTTTTTTTTTTTTTGGAATGAATGAATGAATGCTATGGAAAAAGGGGAAAGTTAGAAATGAATGATATAGGGAGGGCAGAGAGTGGGGCGAGGAGGAGTTGCAGCCTCTCTCTTTCCTCCGCTTCGGCTTTTGCCTCTCTGATTGATTCTTCAACCCCAACACACACACATGATTATTATAGGGCCTCGTTTGGTAGGAGGCTATTTTAGCCAATTAGTCAAAAAGTTACTAAATTAGCTAAAAAATTAATAATTTATACCAAAAAGTCAAAGATTCTCTTTTCTCTCTACTTTTTGCACATCTTTTTGTAATTAGCCAAAAAGTCATCCCAAACATATAAGATTTTTTTACCTACCTTTTTAATCAAATAGTCAAAAAATTACTAAATTAGTCTGTTCCCAAACGAAGACGCAGAAACATGAAAGAGTTATTTATTAAAGTACTTTACTAATATTTTTAACAATTGTTTTATGAGCTTTTTTTTTAATATTCTAAAAAAAATAATTTAGAGGATTAACTCAATTTTTAAATTATTTAAGAAATTGAACTGTTTTTTGAAATCGTATTTTAAAAATATAATTTTTAATTTAAAATTATATTTTTAAAATACAATTTCAATTTGAAATCGCATGTTGAAAATGTAATATATCTTAGTAAACATGCGATTTCAAGTTGAAATTATACATTGAAAATGCGATTTTCAATTTAAAATTGTATTTTCAAAATGCGATTTCAAAAAGAAAGTTAATTTCTCAAATAATTTGAAAAGTGAGTCAATTTTCTAAATTATTTTTTTTAGAATATTTATAAAAAAAACTCAATGTTTTATATAAGTATGAGATTCACATGAGACTTATATGGTATGAATCTCATATTTATATGAAATATTTCGTAGAAATATTGGTAAAATATTTAGGTCCCTAGCATTTTTTTATTTATTAAAGATGAATTACAATCACTAATTTATAAAATAAAATAAAAAATTACACTGTAGTCTAGTATTTTTTGAAAAAAAAAATTATTACAAAATTCTCTGTCAACTTATGAATTATATGATATTATTATATTTCAATAAATCATATTATTTTGAATATTTGATTCACTAAATTATAATTCTTATATGTAAGCCGTTTTATGAATAATTTTATCTTTACAAATATTTTTGAACTCTTAACAATTTGGTAATTTAAACATTCACATTAAATAAATTTGATAGTGTGAATGTTTATATTGACAATGTGAATATTTATTACGTGAGTATTCACACTGTCAATGTGAACATTAATGCACATTCCATCTTATTATTATTAAGGATATTTTGATAACTATATCACTTATATGACTTATTAGAATATAATAAAACTAGTGGTAACTCGTGCTACGCACGGCATGTAAAAAAGTTAATAATATATTTTTATACAAAATAATATAAATAGTTAAATTTTTGTATGCAAATTATGAAAACAAAGAAAATTGAAATTTATAATTTAAGGCTCACAATTTTATCACAATTTACTTATTATTTTTTAATTTGTCACAAATTTAATCATGTAATTTTTAACCTCCCTTTCTAGAATTGCAAACTTAAGTGGGCTCAACCCAAGCAACTTGAGTCAAGGTTAAATTTTTTTAAAGATTGAACCATATAATTTTTAATTAAGTGAGGACCTATACAGAAATTCAAAAATTTAAATTAAATTTGAGTGGACTTGGGCAGAAACACCAAATAATAACCTCAGCAACGAAAACAAAATTATATATATATAAATCTATAAATTATTTGCTAATTTATTTTTTAAAATAATAAATAAAATTAATTAAAAATTTAATATTAATAAACAAAAGAAAAGGCAATATACTTAAGATTTCTAATAGAATTTTTCTTGAAAATATTTAAAAATACACTTTTTAGAAAGGGATCATCAAATAAAGGGTTGTTTGGAAAGGAAACATTTTTTTTTTTTTTTCAAAGATCGATTTGAGATCGTGGTATCACCAGTTAAGAGTGAATGAGGAAGATATTCAAAAAACGACATTCCGTATATGGTATGGCCATTACGAGTTCTTAATAATGCCTTTTAGGCTAACCAATGCACCGGTTTCATTTATGGATTTGATAAATCAAATCTTTTGTGAGTTTTTAGACTGATTCGTGGTTGTCTTTGTCGACAACATCCTAATCTACTCACTCTTTGAGGACGAATACGAGGAATATTTACGAGTTGTACTTGAGTTTTTTAGAGCACACCGTTTATATGCTAAGTTTGGCAAGTGTGAGTTTCGGCTAAAAGAAGTTAAGTTCTTAGGCCATATGGTATCTGAGAAGGGAGTGACTGTAGATTCATCTAAGATAGACACAATGCAAGATTGGGAACAAACTAAAAATGCCTTTGAGTTTCGGAGTTTCTTGGGTTTAGCTAGGTATTACTGACATTTTGTGAAAGATTTCTCTAGATTAGCTTCACCGTAAACCAAATTTGACAAGAAAGGGAATTAAATTCGTATGGAGTGAGGCTTGCGAAAAGTCTTTTCAAGAGCTTAAGGATAGACTCACTACCGATCCAGTTTTGATTATTTCGAAGAGAGGTTTGGGTTATTCGGTTTATTATGATGCGTCTCGGGAAGGCTTGGGTTGTGTATTGATGCAAGAAAGAAAAGTGGTAGCGTATGGCCCACGACAGTTGAAAACATATACTCACGACCTAGAGTTAGTAGCGGTGATTTTTACCTTAAAAATCCAGAGGCATTACCTGTACGAGGAGAGATTTGAAGTGTTTTCTGATCACAAGAGTTTGAAATATTTGTTTTCACAAAAAGACTTAAATTTTAGGCAGAGGAGGTGGATGGAGTTTATGGAGGATTATGATTTCGAGTTATACTATCATCCAAGGAAGGCCAACGTAGTAGTCGATGCTTTGAGTAGGAAATCTATAAGCAGTGTAACTAGTATTGTCACCCAGAATGAGAGATGTTAGGCATTGTGGGCAAGTTTGACTTGCATCTTAGCGTGTCCGTTGAGTCGGTCGTTTTGTTCACTATAGTTGCACAACCTACTCTAGTGAGCCAAGTTATAAAAGCACAATGGGATGATTGTGAAGTGGAATCTATCCAAGGGAAGATATCTAGCATGAAGGTAAAGAAGGGCTTAAATGTTTATTTTAACTAAAGTGTGAGGTATCTAGACTATTTTTTTGTGCCAAAATCTTGCAGAGAGGAGGTACTCTGAGAGTTCCATCATTCACACCTTGTGGTACACCCGGGAGGCACAAAAATGTACCACAACCTTAGTTGCCCGTTTTGGTAAAGGGAAATGAAGAGAGATATAGCCTTATTTGTTTCGAGGTGTCTTCCTTGTCAACAAGTGAAGGTCGAGCATCAACGACCAGTAGGTTTGTTGCAACCCTTACCTATAGCCGAGTAGAAGTAGGAGCATGTCATAATGGATTTTGTTGTAGGTCTTTTGAGGAGCCAACGGGGTAATGATGTCGTATGGGTGATAGTCAATCGGTTAACTATCAGCATACTTTATACCTATACGCATGAATGACTCGGTAGATTATTTTGCCGACCTATATATTACGGATATAGTTCGACTTCATGGGGCCCCTATAACTATCGTCTCAAATAGAGATCCTCGTTTCATGGCTCGGTTGTGGCAGTGTCTATGGAATGCCTTGGGCACTAGGTTGACGTTTAGTACTGCCTATTATCCTCAGACTGACGGGCAATCCAAGCGCACCACTCAGATTTTAGAGGACATGCTTGGGGCTTGCATTCTCAATTTTAAAGGGTCGTAGAAGAGGCATTTACCCTTGGTGGAGTTCGCCTATAATAATAGTTTTCAAGCAAGTATTGGTATAACGCCTTTTAAGGCCTTGTATGGTCGATTGTATAGATCTCCAGTGTGTTGGGCCAAGGTGGGGTGACGCACCTATGTTTGGTCTTGAATTAGTCCGAGAAATGAAAGAGAAGGTTGAGTTTATTTGTAAGAGATTCTTTTCAGCTCAGAGCCGTCAAAAGAGCTATGTCAATCATAGGAGGAGGCTTTTGTCTTTTTGAGGTGGGGGATCATGTGTTTTTTAAAATATCACCAAGATGGGATTTGATGAGATTCAGAAAGAGCGGGAAGTTGTCTCTTACATTTATTGGGCCCTTTGAGATTCTAAAGTGAATTGGAGAGGTAGCTTATCATTTGGCCTTATCGCCCCAACTTTTCAGGATTCATAACGTGTTTCATATCTGTATGCTCTAGAAGTACGAACCTAAGCTTTCACATGTGTTGGATTGGACCGACTTAGTGATAGATAAAGATGCCTCATATGAAAAGAGACCAATTCAGGTATTAGATACTCGGGATCAAGTCTTGAGAGACAAGATTATTCCATTGGTTAAGGTGTTGTAGCGACACCATGGGGTTGAAGAGGCGACTTGGGAGCGTTATTTTTCTGTGTGTAGCTACTAATCTTTGATTAAGGATACCTAATAAGTAATTAAGATGAAATTCATAACTAATTGCATGTGTGTTGCATTATTTGTGTTTCTATCTGTTTATTATCTATTTATCATAGAAATATCTGTTTGTGTTTCAGTTTTGTTCTACGAATTAAAAGCCTTGTCGGCATCCAATCACGAAATTGACTTAGGTTATGTGTTATTCGAATTTTTAGTATTTTATGGCAAGTTCAATTTAAATTCGATTTGGAATCAATTAATTAAAATTAAATAATGTAAATTAGTGAATTTAAGCTAAGCTTAATTAAGACTCATTAATGGGCCTATATATGGCCATTCCCAACACCTTTTATACACTTTACACTCTTAACCCCTCATCTTTGAAGACTAAAATATGAGGGAGAGGGAGAGCGAGAGGAGGAAGTGTGAGCTCAATTAAAGGGAGTTTGCTAGAGAAGTGAAACAAATTGCTAGAGAATTAAGGGGATTGAAGGAATTGAGCAAGAACTTACTTGGATTCAAGGGATTGAGAACCTTAGGTAAGAAATTCAATGTTTAAGCTTTGTGTTTGACTTACTCACACTTGAATTCAAGAGAAGGTAGAGATTAAGAGCAAGAACTAAGCTTAAGAACAAGAATTGAGATTAATCCATGCATTGCATGCATAATTCATGATTTTTTACCTCTTTTCATAAATTCTTACATGCAAGTGCCTACGTTTGCTATGTCTTAAAAGCTCACCATGATTTTACATGAAAACACTTCATCAATTCATGTTTTGAAAGCTTTGTATCCAAGTCATTGCATACATATTATGTTTTCAAAAGTTTAAGGTTTACTTTGGAGGAATCCACTTGCTCTTGGGCTTGATTTTGAAAAATGAATTTCAAATTATGAAGTACCATGAGTTTAGACATGTTTTCTCAAGTTTTGAGCCCAAGAAATGTGTTTTGTAGTGTTGAATTCGAGTTTTGAAGCTTAGAAGGAAATCTGAAAATTCTAGAATTTTGCTTCTCTGCTTGAGTGACAGAACCTGTGCTCAAGCAACCACTCTTTGTTTTGCACTTCCGTTCGAGTGACCAAAAGTTGGCTTGAGCGTAAATTGCATGCTCCTAGAAGTTTACAAGTTTTACAGACCGCTCGAGCGACCAGAGTTACGCTCGAGCAAAGACCTCAGTCTCATACTCGAGCAACCGTTGAGCATGCATCTAGCAAAAAAATCAAGCAACTAGTACTTTTGTAGAGTTTGCAGACCGCTCGAGTGACGAAAGTTGCGCTCGAGCGACCACCCTTATTTTTGACCCTCCGCTCGAGCGAAGGAAGCTACGCTCGAATGAAGACCCTGTTTTCAGCAAATTTGACCAAGTGTTTTGAATCACATTTTGGCATCCTCATTGCATCTTAGGCATTCTTAAACCCTAATTAAGACATAGTGATGAGGACAAAGGCTAAAAACACGCTAAGAACGAAACGAAATAAATTGAGTACTATCTGAATGTGTGTGTTTCAATATGTATATCTGTTATGTTGTGCAGGTCACGCGCCATAAGGTATCCGGTTATCCGTTATGTCTATTTGCTATTGGAGCCATCTGTGAGTAATAACTTTGTAAAGCTATGTTCAATTTATAAGTATTTTCTGAATGATATGATACTCTGTTTTCTGAACTGTTATTTTCTATACGAATAAATGGTTGTCCAATGTTTTTGAAATGTATTTGTGGTATCATTCGCTTCAGATAACATCTGTTATCTATTTTGTTACGTCCCAATTATAGGCCAACTGTACGTCTCATGAGCCAACTGTTATAGATTCTTTTGTATACGTCCCATTTATGGGCCAACTGTATGTCTCATGAGTCAACTGTATCGTCTCCATGCACGTGAGTCAACTGTATGCCTTCATGACTGTCCCTTTATAAGTCAACTGTTTCTGCTAGTGCTAATGAATGTACCATGTATGATTAATTGCAAATTCTAATTATGAATATGATTTTGAATCTGTTTCTATTATGAACTCTGATTTTTGAACATGATCATAAAATATGTTTCTGTTAACTGCTGAATTCTGATTTCTGTAATTATATGGACAACGTTCATTAAACCTTTTCCCTTGTTATTATTCACTAGGCTCCCGTTTACTATATTTGTGACGACCCTGCTAGATATAATATTTTATATTTAATTAATCAAGGTGATTTGGATTTTAATTAATTATTATTTTAATTTCATTGCAGAATTGATGAACAATATTGGTATTGATTCATATGTAATTTTATAAAAGAGCTCTTTTGGAATTAAAAAATTAAAAACTTAGGTGGCTCAAGAAGATGAAATTGACGAATTGTTAATTTTCAGTATCGGACCATATGAGAGTTTAACTAAATATCCGATCCAGTTTAGTAAAATTGAGATTTTATTAATTGGGTCCGAATTGGAGTTGATTAAGTCATGGGTATTGAGAATTGTGGTTATTATGAATTAAATTTAATTATGAGTTGTCCAATTTAAATATGTAATTTGTTGACAATAATTTTGAGTTTGATCTAAAATTGAAGGCCTTAATGATGTGAGAAACCAAAATTGAGAATGGTAATAAGTTTAATTGGACATTTGGAGCTTTTTGGAAGTTTGATTAAAAATCTGATTCAGACTGATCAACTTGATTATGATTTGATTAGATATTTATTGAAGTTAATTAGACTAATTAAAATTATGTGGGATTTATAATTAGTTATGATTAATTGGGTTAGAATTTTACATAACTAATTAAAATTAAGAGATGGTTAATTAAGTTAATTGTAATCAGGGATTAATCTCAATAGAATATCCTAAGCAAGATTAATTAGTTAATGAAAGAATTAATACACCACCACATGGGTTCATATAATAAGGACAAGTGTCCCACTAAATAAATAAAAAAATAAAAGAAAAGATGAATGAATGAATGAAGTCAAATGAGGCCTTCACTCTGCTGGAAACAAAAGTTCGAAAAAGAAAGAAAAAGCACGGGCTGAGGGAGAGAGAGACCGAGAGGAAGAGAGAAAAGGGATTAAAGAAGAGAGTCTTGTGGGATACCAAGATTTAAGCTTAAAATTGTGAAAAATTCATCTTAAGGTAAGAAATTTCATTCTTTTTCTAGTGTTGTTTAATTAATCTAGACAAAAATTGATTGAAGGTAGATTTGAGAAAATTAAAATAGAGGTTTGAGGATTAGTTATATAAATTCATAGAAATTGGGTCTTGCATGTTCAATCAAGTTAGGTTGAAAATTATGAGTCATGATTCTTTAAATTTGTTAAGTTTGAGTTTAATTTTGAGAATTATTCTTGAATTGAGTCCCATAAATTACATGCAATAAGACTTCATTGAAGATTTGATCCTAAATTTATGGAAATTAATTTAGAGATTAATCACATTGGGTTTGAATTTAGTTGTCTTAATATGAAATTAAGTGTCAATTGTACATGCATAATGAATTTTCAAGAGCCTTGGAAGTTCAATTCATGATTTAAAGTTTGTGGGTTTGAAATTGGACTTGATATAAAGAAAATGAATTAAATTTAAATCTGGACAAATTTATAAATAAATTATAATTTATGTTTGAGAATCAAAATTAATTTGATTTTGATTAAGATTCCATACATGCAAATATTTGTGAAAGGGCTTTATAGATTCAATTTTATGTTTCATAAAACAAAGAAAGAAGTGAAAGATGAGTTTTACAACATGAAATCCAAGGTTTACATGTTAATTGAAATCATGGAATTTTGAAATATAAGTGGCATTAACTTTAAATATATGTAATTGGGAATATTTTTGCACATTCGAGTGAGTCATGTATGACTTTAGAGCCTTAGTAATGTATTTTAAAGTTTAAACAACATTCTGAAAAACGCAGAATTCACCATCATCGCTTGAGCGAAAAAGTTGTCGCTCGAGCATAGGATGCAAGCAACTAGTATTCTTGCAGACCAAGGGGTCCGCTCGAGCGACCAATATTGCGCTCGAGCGAAGAACCCCGTGTCAGAAAATTTTGAAAAATTATTTCATATGTTGATTTCCGTTCTCTTAGACTCTTAGGCACTCTTAGGCATGTGCTAAGCATTATAAATGAACTATAGAGTTAGAAAGAGCCTAAGAGAATTAAACGAATTAAAGAACGGAATGAATTATATGGTGACCCAGTTTCTATGTGTATTATGAATTGTATAGGGTCAACTACAAGGGTGAACTGGGCATTTGAACACTGTGAGTAGTAACTTAATAAAGATATGTTCAAGTAATATTTACTTTCGAAATCGTACTGCTTACAAAGTTGATATATGAATGATTGAATGGTTTGATGAGGAGTTATTTTCTATTGATGAATAAAGTTCACTTTTGAAATTATATTGTGGCATCCATTGAACATAGGCCCTTGCCTGGGGGAAACAATACCATGGCTAGGGCCTTGTCTGGGGGAAATAATACCATGGCTAGGCCCTTGCCTGGGGATAACAATACCACGGCTAGGCCCTTGCTTAGGGGAAACAATACCATGGCTTTTGAATTGATTGACACATAGAGATCTCTAGTGTTAGACCCATTGTAGTCCACTGGATTATTGATTGACCCATCGTGGTCCATTGTATGACCCTCGTGGTACATTGTTATTAAAATATTGTTACTCTATTGGATGTACCACGTAAATTGTCATTGAATGAGTATTGCAATTGGGATAACATAGATCATTGAGAATTGAACTGAAATCGGATTTGTATTGAAAATGCTATCGAACATTGGTTTTTATTATTGCAAAGGATTGATATAATGGCTAATCGAATTGACTTGCCCATTGAAATGGATTTTTTCGGAAAAAGGAAATATATGTTTTGATATGGGATTTGATATGGAAAATGCTTTGTTATAAATTTGATATAATATGGAAAATGCCTTATTTTGAAAATGATTTAAGATTCGTTTCGAAATCGTAAGACAGGTTTTTGTATTATTATCGAACTTCATTCATTTAACCTCTTTATTCTGTTATTACTCACTGGGCTTTAGCTGACTATTTATATGTATTTGTAGGTGAGCAAGTTGAGCAACAAGAATAGAGAAAGTCTCAGAGTCTACCCGTGTCAGCCTTTGAAGAGCTTCTGGAATGGAGCAAGTTAGGCTCGATTAAAGTCAAGAAAATCAGCCCCTTAGCTTTGTCAAAGTTTGGTATTTTACTGAGTCTTAAATGTATATGTGTGTGAAATATATAAGATTTGTATATGTTTAAAATTTATTATTGTATCATATAGGTACAAGCTCAATGGACATTTTTATTTTTGTTTTATTTCCGCTTTAGGGCCCGATATGATATTAAATATTATGTAATTTTGCCTTTAAGGCTAAAGGTAATCTAGGATTATTGGCCGGTCATGACTCTAAACCATAAGGGTCGGTTTGGGTCGTGGCAATATTATTTATATATGTAGGTGATCAGACGCGTAGCCAGGCTCAATGATGATCGCCTGGAATTCCGTTTTGCAGGCCAACCTTTGTGCCTCCCAAGGAGGTTTTAGAATAAGTCAAATGGTCGAGTTTTATGAACTAAGTTTTAAGACTTTGTTTTCTTTAGAATATAGACAAGTTTCTGTTTATCTTACACTGGACTAAGTCCCACTTTTGGTTTATCTGTGTATAAGAGTGATGTACGACTGATGTATGTATGACGTCACATATGTGTGTATTTATATAGTTTTAAATTATCTGTCCCATATATGTTTGTACAGCTCATTGGACTACATATGTTTTATCTACCTGTTTTTGCTAGCCCCTTAATTCTATGTTATTCTGTACAGAGGCCTTTGGTAATCCAAGGATTACTGGTCGGTTACGACGTTAAACCTATAGGGGTGGGTTTAGGTCGTGACATAAAGTTTGGTGACTAAAATTAGTAAAATAAATAATGGGAGATGTTCATGGTGATTAAATAAAAATCACTAATTTTAATGATTTGATGGTGTTTTAAGAAATTATTGACTTCATTGATGATCGTGAATCAAAATGTGAAATAGGAGAGACAAAAAATGAAACGTTGATGTGAATTTAAGTTATGTTGGACAGTGGATAATTTTGGAACTTAACTAAAGGAGTTATGTATTGTTTAATTGATAATGAAGGTTAAGAATTTAGTTGATGTTGGAAATACCAAGATTGAGTATGGTAATCATGTTACACAATTATTGTAGACGTTCAACTAAATGTTATCGATGATATGGAAACTATGGTAATATTATGAGAGTTCTTTTATTTGATTTGTTGGTATTGTTGTTGTTTACTAAACTTCATGTGTTTCATGTTGGTGATTTATTTCAGTAATTCGGAATATGACGAGATGAATGATGAAAGTGCTATATGAAGGTTCCGCTTTCCTTTTAGTTAGCACCCGGTAAAGCGTGCCGCTTTGACGTAGGTATCAATTTCCTTTCGGTTCGCGCCCAATAAAAATCGTGTGTTATTGAACGACACGAAAGGGTCTGTTTCCTTCTGGCTTTAGATTGGTAAAGCATGGCGCATTGACATAGGTTCTTTCCTTCCAATTTGCGCCTAGTAAAATGTGTGGAGTATTGGGCTATATAGAGATTCCACTTTCTTTGGGATCTCCCGAAGGGTATCCAGGCACACCCGACAGCCTGAACCCTCGATCTGGTTTCATGAGTGCAATGTGAAACGAAATGAAAATCTGGCAAATCCATAGAAAATCTACTAATCACAAGAAATGCCAAAAATGGACTATATCAATCTGTAGACACCCTATTTTGACTAACTCTAAGACTCCGGCTCTTGCAAGCCTCCCGACGATGAAACGACATTTACTTCATCTTTAGAATGTTTAAAATAGGGCTGATCAGCGAATCCATCGACCCACCAAACCTGCCTGACCCGACCACATTTTGGTGGATGTGTGACACATGGCGGGCGGATGTGGACCCAGATTCTGTGTTTTTTCAAGTTCGGGTCGGGGTTGCGGTTGATCCGCCATTATACCCATTGAACCTGACCCGTCCGCTTTTGCCTCCATTTTTTTTCCTAGTTCCCTTTTTTTGATCTCAAACTAAGTAACCTAACCCCATTCTTCTTCCTTAACAGACACACTCTCTCTCTCCCCCCAAAACCCTACCCATCTACCGACGGCGATGACGTTTGAGCGACAATCTATCTACACTAAAAAGCGATCGGCAATCGGCAATCGATAATCTGGTTTTTTTTTTTTACGCCCTCAGCCCTTTTCTAAGAATCTCATATTAAAACCCTAACCCATTCTTCGACTGAACGAGGATTGACAATTGTGGTGGTGGTGAGATATTGTCTTGTCTTCTTCTTTCCTCTTCTTCTCTTATCCTCTTCAATCTCTAATTTGTTTTGTATTTTTTTTTTTGTTCCAGTTCGAAAACCTCTGTTTTGTCTTCTTCTTTCCTCTTCTTCTCTTCTTCTCCTCAATCTCTAATTTGTTCTTCTTTTCTTTTTTTTTTTTTGCTCCAGTTTGAAAACCTTTCTTCTCTCTTCTCCTCCTCAATCTCTAATCTGATCTTTTTTTCTTTTTTTCTTTTTTTTTTCCAGTTCTAAAACCAGAGAGGTTTTTTTCCAATTCTGAAACTAGAGAGGTGGTGAGATTCAGAGTGTGAGGGTTCTGTTCTTTAATCTATTATTTTTTATTTTTTTGTTTCGTTGATATTCGGTAACCTCTTGTTTCTCTTCTTCTCCTCAATCTCTAATATGTTTTTGTTTTTGTTTTTTTTTGGTAGTTCTGAAACCAAAGAGGTTGTATACACACAGAGAGAGGAAGCTTATAAAGAGAAGAAGCTTACAAAGAGAAGAAGCTTACAGAGATGAAGCTTACAGTTTGAAAACCAGAGAGGTTTGGTTTCTTTTTCCAAAAAAAATATGATAAAAATTAGTGAGAAAACAAGTGATGTGATGAGTCGTATCCTAGTATGGTGTCCAATATAACAAGAAATTAAAATTAAAAAAAAAATGGTGTGAAAACTAAGAAAACACTTTTGGTTTTGGGGCTTATTGTTGGTTAAGATTATTTTTGCCAGGTATACCCATTTGTTGCTTTATCATATAGAAATAGTAGAAATGGAGATAAAGAAGAAAATTGTAATGTAATAATGTAATTGACTTCTTTACAATGCTTACGACATTAAAGACTCCATAGCTGTAAGTTTCTCTGTATTCAACTGCAATGAATTATTAATCTTTATCTATTACATTCTTATTGCCATCAGACAATATATATATATATATTTTTAATCTATTGTTTTTTGGAATTCATTAAGAACACCCAATTTGAAAATTAATGAGATATTGCATTGATATTTGGAGAGAAGAATTGGGAACTAAAATTTTGATTAATAAGTTAATTTAAATAAGCAAAACAAAAAAATGCAAGAGTACAACCAATGTTTGTATTGATGGAAGTCATTTTGACAAAGAAACTCTTAACAATAAGATCACTCCATGCTCAATAGGACCACTGACATACAAAAATAGATTCTTTTATGATTTTCGTAAAATTCTGTAATAGCTTGCATTGTTACATTGGTTGGTTGACATTGAGGAATAGTTGAGTGCACACTGTATATTGGTTAAACTTAGTCTGCCTTGTTGTCCTTTTTGTCATTTTTGTTATTACACTGTATATTGACTATCTACCATGATCCTCTTGTTCTTCCATTTTTCTATGTTTGTTATTCATGCGCGCATGTGCCACTCATAAATGTCATCTTGTTTGAAAATTATAGGGAAAAAAAACGGAGCTTGGATTTCAAAAGCATATTTTGAATGATTTTTTATTGGTTTTTGGAAATTTATTTGATAATCTTTTGGTCATGGATCCTCTAAGAGAAGAAACATTTTTTGTGAATCCTAATGTTGAGCTTGAATTATCTTCTATTGACCCCTCTACCCAACCTACTGCCCCCCTCCTAGACCATCCTTGGCCAAAAGTAGTGGTAGTTGGAGAATACAATCAAAGGCATGGGATCATTTTGAAAAGATTAAGGGTATTGATTGGAAAGATAAGGCTATGTACAAGTATTGTAAGAAAGAATATATGGCCGGCTCTAAGAGTCATGGAACAAGTAATTTATTAACTCATTTGAAAAATTGTACAAAGTATCCATATAGGGATATTCAGGGGCAACAAACATTGAGATTTAAACCTAGAGAAGTTGGTGGGGAGGATTTTGTTGATATTGTGGCTACATCATTTTCTATAGAAGTTGCTAGGAGGTATCTTGCCGAGATGATAATAATTGATGAATTGCCCTTTTAAATTTGTGAATGGGATTGGTTTTAAGAGGTTTTGTAATGTCATGCAACCTAAGTTCAAGATCCCATCTCGACATATCGTTGCTAGGGACATTGTGGACATATACACTAATGAAAGGGAGAGGTTGAAAAAAATTGTAAAGGGGCATAAAATCCGCTTTACCATAGACACATCGACTTCCATACAAAATTTGTGTTATATGTGTCTAACAGCACATTTCATTGATGATGATTGGAAGTTACAAAAGAGGATCATTAATTTTTGTCAAGTTGAAGAACACAAAGGAGAAACTCTTGGTAAAAAAATTGAGGCATTCTTAAAAGAGTGGGAAATTGATGGCCTTTTTACCTTAACTGTTGATAATGCAAGTTCTAATAATCTTGTCACGACTCAAACCCGGCCTTAAAAGTTTAGGTCATAATTGGCATGTACTCAGGCCTCAGAGACAAAATTTCAAAAATATTCAAATCACATTGGGGCCTTAAGTGGAAGCAGATACCAAAAATAATAATAATGTCCATTGAGTTTGTGCATACATGAAGTCTTAAATTAATTTAAGCGTTTAAATACATTTCCCATATTTACACATACAAATCTCACACAAATATAGTACTTTTTAAACAAAACTAAGCTTGGAAAATTATACTACGTCTCGACATGGAGACAGTTCTTGGGTGGCTTGACGGAGAGGCGAACTTCGGTACAAACTCTAATGTTGATCCTTCGATGGCTTACCAACATATATATATATATATATATAAAGTAAAAGGGCGAGCTAACGCTCAGTGAGTAATAATAAAGTAAAGAGGTTAATGAATGATGTCCTTAACATTAGGAAAACATATTTCATAATTCTGAAACTTATCTTAAATCATTTTAAAACAAACATTTATCGTATCAAAATCCATGCTTTTTCAATTGGAATACATATTTGAAACCATTACAAAACATTTTACATGGTACGTGGTACGCCCACTTATACAAAAGGGTCAGAATCACATTTCAAAGTAGGACATCCATTCATTCATATAAAATAACAATTTGTAAACATAAGTCATATAGCGATGTAAAAACATTTGTATTAATATCACATTTTCTGAACGACCTCGGGTCCAAACAATATCATATCATATCACAATTTTGAACGACCCTAGGTCCAAACGTATCATATCGTATCACTGTATCTTATCATGGAGTAGATGAAATATCAACATCTCTCCACCTCTTATTGGGCCCAATTCATGTATGTATGGTCCCAAGAGGTGACTCGTATAGACTCTAGAGATGACTCCCACTATAGCACTTAGTTCCGTACAGCACTTTATTTCTTACCAGAAATCAATAAGTCATAAAGACCAATTCATATCATGTCATAGCATATAAGGAACGGCCTTAGGCCCACCATATCATATTACAAACAATTCACATTTCTTGTTCATAACTCATTTCACATTTCTTGGAAACTTGTGCATTTTGACAAAATACGATATTTAGAGAATCATGTCATACATAAATCAAAATAGATAATGAAAAACATATCTTTACTATACTATTACTCATAGTGATGGGTTTCTGGTAACAATTGGGCGATGTTCTCGTCTTGACCTACAAACACAATTACATAGCACAACATAGCGAAACACAAAATTACTCTCTTGGTCAAATTTACTTCTCTTAATCAAATAAACCGATCCTTTACTTTGCTCCGTAACCAATTATTTATGTTGGTTCTAAACTCATTAGTCCTCAATGGGTCACGATCCGTGTCTAGGAAAATAGGAAGAAACGAAAGAAAACTGGGTTAGGACAAGAAAAAACATGAAATGGTTAGAAAAAAAGTGAACAACCTTCACTAATTTGAACATATCTACTTGTGTACTCAGAACTTAGATGTGAGACCACACCATTGGAAACTAGATTTCCGGAGCTTGAATTTAGACTCAAGAATCACTTAAAACGGAGTCCGGATGAGGGAGATATGCCTATTCGAAGTTGGGCTGAAACAGGGGAGTTCCACACGTGCGGGACCAAAACCACACGTGCGGGAAAATCAGGGCACGTGCAGGGGAAAATTAGGACACGTGTGGGGGCAAGTGCAATTATTTCAAAATCAATTTGGGTGTTGAAAATGGACTGCCGCACGTGCGGCGATGGGTGAGAAAGTCTATCTAAGAAAACCTGTTTATTTCAAGCTGAATTTCTTTATTTTCCATTTAGGGTTCAATCTAAATCACTCCCAAAACATGTAAAGCTAATAGAAAACATGAGATTATGATTGTTTTCTAAATCAAAACATCAAAATTACAATGAATCTTCAAACAAGAAAGATCAAAATCCTTGTTTTAGTTCTTTTTCAAATTTTTCGAAACTTCTTCTTTCAAATTCACATAGATCATTGTTTCATATCTAATTTTATGAATTCAAACCATACAAAACCTCAATATTAAGGCTCAACTTCTCACAATCTAACCCAAGTCAAGTAACTTCAAAGAAATCAACTCTTAAATCAAACAAATCTAAGAAATCCAAGTCCAATTTCATATATATATATATATATATATATCTATATCAAGTAAGCTTAGAACTTAAAACTCGAAATAATAAAACCAAGTAATTTTCTCCTTCAGGGCTCTTACTTCAATTTACACCACTTTACATCCTTCAACTTCTTAATTCAACCTAGATTATATGATCTCATGAGGAATACAACTTGTATTCATAAAATCAGAGGAAGATGTTTACCTTAGTTGGCTAATTTGTTGTAGCTTATCTTATCTTCAATGCTCTATTCAAGTTTCCCTCTTCCTTCTTATCCTTCAGCTCTCTTTCTCTCTTTTCTCGTTCTAGAACAATCTCCTCCACTTTCCTTTGATTTTTGTGTTTAAAACAAGATAAAGATGAGCTCAAATGGCTTATATCACTTATATACAGATATACGCACTTAAAGGTGGCCCAAACACACCTTAACGAATCAGACGGAATAAATTTTTAATTAAACTTCTCTAATGGCTCTAAATTTTTCCATTGGCATATCCATGTACTCAATTTCTGTTTTTGAACATATTAAAGTTGTCTATTTCAATTTCAAAGTGTTAACTCTAAGAGTTTTACCCAAATAAAGTCAATTAATTCATTACAAATCAAATTTTTACAAAATTTCATATTATATCCTAAAAATCATGCTAACCACAATTATAAAGTCAATTTCAATTTACCGCGCCTCTAAGACTTTCAATTTTCTATCCAAAGGTTGTAATTTCAACAGATTTTTCTACAATCAACAAATTTAATTTCAAATCCTTTTAATTCACATCCTTACACATGCAATTCCAAATTAACAACATAATTAGCTTAATCATGACGAATCACAAGTTCCACATAATTTAATTAACCTAATTTAACTTCTATTAGGCCATCTCTAATAGTGCATCAAATTGTGCATCACATTTGAAATTTGATGAAAAAGTCACATTTTCTCCCTCCAATGGTTTCACCAAACTAATATCAAATTGAGAATTAAGCAAAAATTTCACCAAATTGAGAATGCGTTGGGTCTTTCATCAAAACACTATTCATTACCGTTGCATTTTCACCACTAGATGACCCACCGGATGATCAATTTTGCACTAAATTTTGTACATATTTTACACTGGGAGGTCGACCACCCAGTCGACCCCTCGGATGACCCTCAAGCTTGAAAATTTAATTACAGAATTGTGCAGATTTTGCTCTTTCTGATCGACTAGTCGGTCGTCCCCCCAGACATCCGGTACGTTTTGATGAAAGTTACAGTACACCGTTTGAGTGATTGATATCAGATTGAGCCAAATGCCTTTTTTTAACTCAAATTTGGTGAAAATTTTGTTCAACTGGTGGAGATGCTCTTAGAGTCCAATTAATTATATTCAAATTTATCAGTCCGAATCAGATTTTTAATCAAACTCCCAAAAGGCTCCAAATATCAAATTAAGCTTATTTCCATCATCAATTGTGATAATTTGACTCACTACTTATCCTTTCTTGAGCCAATCAAGCTTTCAATTTCTAATTCCAAATAAATTTTCAATAACATCGTCTACGAATCAGTCTCCATAATTTTCATAATTCCCAAATTAAATCAGAATAGTAGGCAATGAATATTCAAATCTCCGTCATTAATTAAATATTAAGTATTACATGATGGGGTTGTTACAAATCTAACCATTAGATTCTAGAAAGGAACCACAAAACTGTGGAAGGGAACTGTCCCAAGCCATGACTTTTTATATATGCGTTGTTGTGCACATATTCTAAATCTCATTGTTAGTGATGGATTGAAGGATCTTGAGTCTTGTATAGCGAATGTGAGGGATGCAATGAGGTATGTGAAGTGTTCTCCAAACCGCCTTGAACTTTTAAAAAGTATGTGGAAAGTTTGAAAATTGAGAGAAAGAGTCACTTGTGCGTAGATGTGCCAACATGGTGGAATTTCATATATCTTATGTTGGAGGTGGTGGAAAAATTTGAGAGTGCTTTTCAAAGAATGGGTGAGGAGGACTACAATTATAAGCACTACTTTTTAGATAATGAAAGGGGTGAGAGAAGAGAGATGCTTATAGCCGAGGATTAGGATAATTGCAAGGTGTTTTTGAAATTTCTTAAAATGTTCTACAATGTAACAAATAGATTTTCTGAGTCTTTATTTGTTACTTCAAATACATTCTACACGGAAATTTTTGTCATTGAAAACATGATTGGACAATTAATCAAAGACAATGATCCTATTTTGTCTTCAATAGCAAAAAAAAAAAAAATGAAAGAGAAGTGTGACAAGTATTGAAAAAATGGGGATAAAATCAATCTCCTTTCGTATGTTGTGGTTGTGCCTAATCCTCGAAGAAAAATGACATACTTGCAATTTTGTTTTTTAACAATTTTTGGTGGTGATGTTGTGAAAGTGAAAGAAATATTAGACAAAGTGAAAAATTGTTTAAGTTAATTTTATGACCATTATGTCATGCTTGATTCAACAAATGTGCATACCTCCAATGTAAATGAAACAATAGATATGGTGATAGATGAAAATGATCCACACTCTATTGTGAACTCTCAATTTAACTCATTTTTGGAGGGGCAATTTCGTAGTAGTGGGAGTACGTCGGAATTGGACAAGTATTTGGGTGATATTGAGAAAGGTGAGAAGAATGCTCAATTTGATATCTTGGAGTGGTGGAAGGTTAATGCAAGAAAATATAGAGTATTATCACTTATAGCACGAGATGTGTTGGCAATGTCTGTTTCCACTGTTGCTTTTGAGTTGGCTTTTAGTACAGGAGGTCGTATACTTGATCCATTTCGTAGTTCCCTTGCTCCCAAGATGGTGGAGGTTCTTGTTTGTACACAAAATTGGCTTCAAAGTAACATTCCAATATGCCTTCGACAAGCAATGGATGATGTTGAAGAATTTGAACAACAATATGATTTGAGTAATGTAACGAGTTGAATAAAATTGAATTTATTTATTATTCTTTTCAATATTTGTTTAGTAATTTTTTTTTAAATATGTTTGTGGGCTCGTGTATTGATTGGAGTTGGGTTGGTATGAATTTCTAAATCGTTTAATTGTTTAGTTATTATTACTATAGTTGTGGTATCGTGGACCATTCTATTTAAATTGGTGAAAATGAATTATATTACTTTTTTATTTCGATTTCGTAAGGCCCACTTGGCAATTTTTGTTTTGTTTTAGTTTTAGTAATTTTTGGGTCTTGAGTAATAAATGAGATATAAATTTAATTTTTAGGACTTATTTGATTAGCACATACTTAATCATTTTGGTTCATATTTAATTATGTGAATGGTGAGGACCACCTTAAGCCTTTTAAAATTTATTTATAATTTAATCTTAGTTGGAGATTTATTTTAAATTATTAAACTCCATTCATTTTGGACCCAATTGATTGAATCATGACTCGTTTGTAACCATGTATTATTATTTATTTATTTTATAATCTTGAGAGAGATATAAATATTTGTGGTATGCACCATCAAACGAAATATATTTTGTGGTGGAAAAATATTATATCCTTTTTGTCATTAATGATGTTGAGATATTATTTTAATTGATATATATATACATATGCATATACATATATAGATTCATAGATATTTAAATATAATAAAATAAAATGTAATAATGATTATAGAAGAGCAGCCTATGTGGGGCTACTCCCTTTCCCATCTCCTTCACTATTTTCTTTCTTGTTTATGAATCTGACTCACCACTCTCTCTCTCTCTCTCTCTCTCTCTCTCTCTTTCGGCTCTCTCCCTCTTCTCCCTCATTTCTTCTATCTCTCTTTAAACACCACTACTTCATTTCTTTTCGTGATCTAGCAAAATCAATAAACTTTTTACCTGCAGTTTTTAAGAATAAATTGATGAACATCTTGAGAGGAGCGTTTTGACCGATGGTGATCAAAATACGACAAAGTAAAAAATTGGAGTTTTTGCTTGTTTTCTCTTCTAGCTTTTGAGATAGGGATTTTCTAAACATTGTGTATGTGTTTTAGCTTTATTATGTGTTATTTTGATAGTGTGATATTTGAAAAGACTAGGGTTTTATTAATGGTATATTAAATGCATGAAAAGGGGGAAGTTCTTAACTTTATTTAAAATCTCTTGTTGGTTGAGTGAGATTTTGTATGACTCGTGGATTTTGAGGAATGCGTTTTTTTTTTTTTAATGAGAAATTCCCAAATTTTTGTAAAACCCTAGAAATTTAAAATGCCAAGATTAAGATTTTGGCTAAGTTTATGAAAAGCGTATAAGGGTTGAAAACCTATTTTATTTGAACAAGTGAGAATTTGAAAGTGGATGTTTAAATAGATGAGATTGATGAGAATGCCTTTGGAAATATTGAAAACCATTGAGGTTCCTTTTAAAAATTGTTTAATTTGAAAATATTGAACTCTTGAGAAGGATGGAAATTATTTATCATGTTGAGGTATCGAGAAATGTTGAAAGAAACTTATGTTATATTTAGTATTTTGAATATTCGTGGTGAATTCTTGAGTTTGAATAAAAAGGGAAAATTCATGAAATTTATGGAAGAGTATTATGATTCTTGATTGAGTTAGAAAAGAGGAGATTGAACACGTGACTGTCACTCCTATGTTGAAATGATTGAAAATATGAGATTATGAGTTATATTTGTCTCTTGAAATTTATATTTTGTATGGAGATAATTGTTTGGGCAACCTTGGAGGGTTGTATTGATTATTGTAGAAATTGCATGTGAAATAGGCAAATTGAAATATTTGCAAATTCATGCATGACATTGAACATTGCATAATCTCATGATTTAATTCTCCCATTGGATTTGAGAAATTGATTTTCAAATTGATTCATTGAGAATGTTTGAAATATGTTGAGTTATGGGATAAATACGTTTGGTAAATCCGAATAGGAGATGTAGATTGGTATTGTTTAAGTTGTCCTGAGTGTTCAGGGTGAAAGACCGAAAACACGAGCGAAGTAGGTGCTACGTGCCTTCCGGTTATGAGCCGGTAAAGTGGATATCAGTAATGCTAGTTATGCCTACTTGGAGACACCAACCTAGAGATTTTCAGTGTCATATTTACCGCCCCTTGTTCTATGCAATGGATAATTGAATTGGTTATGCTTTTGAACAAGTGCATGGTATGAGAATTTCAAAATGAGAAAACCTATGATTTTTGGCATTGACATCTCATATGCATTGCACCTCATGATATTGTTAAATTGCGTGCACTTTATTTAGATTATCTCTGCCGAGCTTTATGCTCATCCCTTAGTGGAAACCATTTTCAGGTGATCGCGATGTGCCTTTACTAAAGTGAAGGCAAGGAGGAACTTTTAGAGCACGAAGCTCAGTTTTTATTTGTTTTCTTTTTGTAAGCCAATAGCTATTCGTGTTTGGGTGTGAACACCATTTTTGTGTAACTAGGCAAGGCCTCGGAACTTGTAGCCAGTAGGGCATTATTTTGTACTTAACTTGCTTTAAATTTCTATCATCACATGCCATAGATTTATATTTTAGAAATAGCGAATGTATGAATGCATGTGAGTTCTTTTATGATTCTTACTAGAAAGTCATGAATGGAAAAGAAAGGGGTTTTGGTCCTCACATTAATGAATGTAGTATTTATCATTCTCTCTCTCTCTCTTTCTCTCTCTCTCTCTCATGTTAATGATGGAATAATTGAGAATGAGATCATCTTATGAGTTAAATTGGATTTATCGGATGTATATATTTTTGGGGCGTTACAAGCAATATATACAATGATTTATTTTGTTTTAAATTTCATTTATTTTGTATTATTCAAAATTCATTATTTTCACTTTACATGTTTTTGTTGTGTTATGTTTTATGTGTAGTTGTTTTGGAATCAAGTTCATGTAGTTTTATTGAAGTTTAATAGCATTGGTAAAATACTTTGTTAAATGTTGTTGATGTTTACTTGTTTGAAGTTTAAGCCTTTTTAGTATTTTCCTTATTAAATAATTTCATTTTTTTGTTATGCAGGTTTAGATGGCTCATGGTTTGGCTCAAGGAAATGAATGGCTTTATTGCTTCTTTTTAAGTTATTTTCAAAATATTACTATTGCTTGAAAACTGCTTTGGATGACTGTAATACTTTATTTTGGATGGTTGTATTAAGATGTTTTAAATTTTTTGAATGTCTGTAATACTTTATTTTGAATGGTTGTATCATATGTAATTTATGGATATCATATGCCCTCATATGTTTATATGAGATAATTGTATTAGATTTTGTGATTCAATACAGGGTGGAAAAAGTGAGTTACATGACCAAACAAAAATTGTATGTTGAAAATTTGACCACTGCACAATGTTTATATATGCATTGCACACAGATGGTGGTTGAAGAAGGAAGTGCACATTTTTATTTTTATTTTGATGAAGTGCACATGTTGAATTATGTTGAAAATTTGTAAAATTCTAAACTGCCAAACCGATTCACATCCATCTGCCAATTCGGGACCGCCGGATTGGCGGACGAATACAGATTGATTTTTTTCCAATCTGCCAATTCGGCAGACGAATGACGGATTGGAGGTTCCGTAGCCACAATCGACCCGTGACCACCCCTAGTTTAAGGATGTTTAAAGTTGCTGTACAAACCTGTTTTGGCCAAAAATCAACTTTTCGCAAAAAATGACCATTTTATCCCTAGACCCATTTTTAGCCAAAAATCAACTTCTTAACCTTGGAAAGCCTGATTGTATTTTGATTGATCATATTTTTCAAAATTAGTGACCCATTTTATCAAAAACAATTATCATAATGCAATTCAAGTTTACTTGTGCCACAAGCAAACCAAGAGCATAGGACCACCTGTAGCACTTTAGGAAAATTTTCTTTCTCATTGTTCGAGTGACAGATTGATCGCTCGAGCGGTCTTGCGAGTCATTCAGTACTGTGGAGAAGTGGTTTGGAAATACTCTTCAGATCCTGAGAGACGCTAGTGATCCTTAGCTAGTCACCTGAAAAGATACAAACACTCCGGTCAGGGGTGCCGGAATTAGAACTCCGACGGACAAGTCAGTTCAGACACTCAGGATAGCTTGTTTACTAAGTTAAGTGAAGTGATTCTTACATACCTTTCTAAATCTATGGTTCTTGTATTTATACTTGCCTTTTGGACCTCGGGGCCTGAGCCTACTTTTATCCCATTCCCTTTTTATTTATTCGGAGCTACTGATCTCCGGCTATTCGGCTTTCCTAACGTATTCGGCATCTTAGTCACGCAATATGGAGCCGAATAATATCTAATTTCTGGGGTACGCACCTTCCGACTCTTCTATTTATTCGGCTCCCACAATTGCCTCCTAAGCACTTTACCAACGATAATTTAGCTGGAGTGCTTGGTTCCGAATTTCGAAAAGTCAGAGCCAAAATTTGGCGGTTGGCCTCATTCTCATGCGCATATCTTAGCACACCCCTTTCGGTTGTCGTGTCGACTTCCCGCCTCCTCGTACGTGACTATTTATTGCGATTTAAAATTTTGACGTCCTTTCAAGTATGTATTTTATGACACTCGTCGTTGGATTGCCTTTTGAATCGTCCCTGCAACTCTCTTCTCCGATATCCTCTTCGTCCTTTGTAAGTTCTCTCCTTCCTTGCTTCGAAGACTCTTTCTGGTTTATTCCTTCCTTGGCATATTCTTATAAACTGTAGGGTATGGCGAAACATTTAAAAGACCTTCTCTCGTTAGATCGAATTGCTGGCTTTAAACGTCATTTCTCCATTCCTGATGATGTCCGCCTGTCGTTTGTGGCAGACGGCACTCTTGATATAAAGAGGGAGAACAAAACCACGATTGTCTTTCCTCTTTTATCAATCGTAGAGGGTGGAGTCCCCCTTCACCCGTTTCTTAGGGCTGTGCTTCGCCATTGGGGTTTAATCCCTTCCCAATTCAATGTGAATTTCTTTAGAATTATAATGGGGGTTATAGCGCTCAACCGACGCCTTAGAATTAACCTTGGCATTCCAGCCATCCGGCATTGCTATGCCTTGGCTAAGTCTTCTGGTCGGCACGGGCATTTCTTCCTTAAGGCTAAGGATATTGACCATCAGTTAATTACTATGCTTTCCAGTTCTGGAAAACGAGTTGATGATGTTATGGTCATTGTCCAGGGAAACTAGGAATTTGGCGAAGGGGAGGATTACGTCAACCCTATTCCTAGACAGAGGGGCGAGCCAGGTGGCCGGTTGCCTTCTCGCTTTTATTATTTGTTCATTTTTATTGTAAAGCCTCTTCTTTGAAATGTTACGGCTTGGCTTGTGCAGAGAACGATTTGAAGAAAGTCCTGTCTTCGACTGACGACACCGTTCTTTCGGATATCAAAGTCACGCTCACGTATTTCGTCCGTCGAAGTCTTCAGAAACAAGGGAGGGCGGCCCACGTTCTGCTTCATTACGAGCCGACATGTACGGCCTTCCAGCGGCGGAAAATATCCCGGTTCTGGAGGGTGAAGATTCTCTTATCGCTCTTATTTTGTTCGACTTCAAAAACTTGAGGCAGGTTGGTTTTGAAGGGTCTGATTCGGAGTGGGATGTAGCTAATGTTACCGAATCAGATCAGTACGAAACCGAGTCTGACGAGGTATTGAATTCGACCGATCCTCCATCCACTTCGGGCTGAGGGGATTTTTCACTTAACGGCGTTTTTCACGGCTTAGAGGATCTTCCCGCCGCAGGCCCCGAAGACATGGCCGGGTTAAGCCTGATAAAACTTGCCAGGAAGGCGAATGCGGAAAGGTTGGCCGCGCGGCGAAAAGTGGAGGCCCTTCCGTCTGAAGTACCACCCGCCACCGAATCTCAACTCTCCCTGCCTGTTAGCGAATCAGAGTCCGTGAACGTTATTGAGGTGGAGACGGCAAAAAATCAGAATGTCGAATCTACTTTGATCGTGTAGGCCGGCCAAGAAGTTGAGGAAGAGGCAGAGAAACACCCTGTCGAGTTTAAGGCTGGCTTAGAAGAACAAGGCGGCAAACATCCTCGATTAGAGGGATCGAATGTGATCGTTCCTTTTGTCATTCAGTCGATGATAAAAAAACATGCCAGTTTCTTCTGATGCTTCGGCGCTTAAAGATCCAAAAGTCACATTCAGCTTGGCTACGTTCGTGTCGTTGCCGTTTGACAGGGAGGCTTTCCGGATGGAACCAGATCTGAATGCGACAACACTAGCTGCCCAATCGGCACTTTTGGTACATATTCGGACTTTACTTCACTTAATCCAAATACTGTTGAAGTTATGGTTTAAAATTCCTGTTTTGCAGACCGTCGGAAGGATAGCCGATATAGGCTGTCGCTATCGCGACGCCGTTAAACAGATTGGTCGTTTACGAAAGAAAGTTGAGGGCCAGAGGAGAAGGGCAGAGGTCGAAGCTTTGAGGGCGAACAAGGAAGCCTCAAGGGCCGACGCCGAGGTAGAGAGGGCTCGTAGCGCGGATCAATTGAGATTGGATGCCGAGAAAGAGGCAGACGCAAGCGAAGATGCGCTCAAATTGGCCTAGAAGGCGGTCTCTAAACTGGAGGCAGAGTTGGCTGAAATGAAGGCAGCGAAGGAAACAGCCGACTCGGAGGCTTCCAAAGTATTCGAGGCCGAGAAAAATGCTGGACTCGTCGAGTATTTGGACCAAGTACCCATGTTTGAAAATCGGGGATTCAAACATGGCTGACACAAAGCCCTTGCTGCTGCTAAAGTTTCATTGATTATGCCAATACCATATGAGCAAGTGGATGTTGAGCCATTGGAGTCTAATTTCGATGACTGATCTGGGCGACTAACATAGTTTTTAGGATGTCGAATGTATTTTTACAATTTTTAATTTGGTATGTTTCATGTGTTGCTACAGTCATAGTTTTTTTTGCTAGGCATTTTCATGCGGGCTTGTAGCTTTTTGTTTAGTAATTTGCGTATATAAAATTTCATGAGTTGTGCTCAACTTGCTAAGGAAAATGTTGTTGATGAATGATATTGCTTTCGGTTATGGTTAGATCGGCTGCTTAGCTTAGGTATTTGGCCGACCAGATTAGTAAATCTGCCCTTGCCTTAGCCAGGGAGCGAGCTTAGGAAGCCGAATGGGCCTAACTCGTGGTCTGGCTGAGGCACAGATTGATCGGCGCTTGTGCTTGAAAACATGGCCGACCAGATTAGTAAATCTACCCTTGCCTTAGCTAGGGCGCGAGCTTGGGAAGCCGAATGGGCCTAACTCGTGGGCTGGCTAAGGCAAAGATTGATCGGCGCTTGTGTTTGAAAACATGGACGACCAGATTAGTAACCAGATTAGTAAATCTGCCCTTGCCTTAGCCAAGGCGTAAGCTTGCAAAGCCGAATGGGCCTAACTCGTGGGCTGGCTGAGGTACAAATTGATCGGCACTTGCGCTTGAAAACATGGCCGACCAGATTAGTAAATCTGCTCTTGCCTTAGCCAGGGCGCGAGCTTGGGAAGCCGAATGGGCCTAACTCGCGGGCTGGCTGAGGCACAGATTGATCGGCGCTTGCGTTTGAAAACATGGCCGATCAGATTAGTAAATATGCCCTTGCCTTAGCCAGGGCGCGAGCTTGGGAAGCCGAATGGGCCTAACTCGTGTGCTGGCTGAGGCACAGATTGATCGGCGCTTACGCTTGAAAACATGGCCGACCAGATTAGTAAATCTGCATCTGCCTTTGCCTTAGCCAGGGCGACCAGATTAGTAAATCTGTCTTGCCTTAGCCAGGGCGCGAGCTTGGGAAGCCGAATAGGCCTAACTCGTGGGCTGGACAATTGTCATCCGCCTTTTGACATTTGGGATTACTGACGTTGCCTCGAGAGAGCTGCATGCATTGAAGGATAAATGGGGCGAGTGCACGCCAGAGGCCCTACTTATTTCCATTCAGGCAACTTGAGAGGGACGAAGATTGGTTGAATTAGACACCGCAATGAGTCGCAGTAGCGAGCCTATGCGTACGGGAAGAAGAACGTCCAAGGATCGGGAAACACAGCAGTTCCCTTAGTCGTCGAAGCAAATCGCCCCAAAAGGACAGGCAACAACAGGGAAATTCTTTGTGCCCGCGACCAAGAATTGAGCCCGATGCAACGCCACGACCGTTGAGTTTTGCTGTTTTTGTGAGCAATAGACCAATGAAGGAGACGGATTCTATCATTAAAGACCCAGGTGTGGCAGTCGAGTTCGCTCGACAGATCTTCCCGCCGGAAGTCCAACAATCGATGGTCGGACGTCAAGATTTAGAAGTATTTCGAGACGGCATACATAGGACCATGAAAGGACT